AGTTCCAACATCATCAGGGAAAACCAGAGACGCAGAGATGAGCAAACCATTTGGAGCTCCAGTACACAGGCCAGAACTTACAGCCACATGTACTTCTCACTTTGTACTGGATAAGCAGATATCCTTCAACAGTTTTTAGTGAGATTTTATTCTAACAAGACTAAATGTAAAAGAACTGCCTCTGATTTTTTCTTAAAAACATGAAAAACTGAACACGCTCTGGTCAAAAGTCCTCACTTACCTCAGGCATTCCGAGCATCCTGATTATTCACCATGAGTTTAAAAGCCGTTTTAAACTTTCAGAGATCAGAGTGGAGTTTTGTAGTCGTGGTAAATCTAACAACAACTAGCATTCTAACATGGACTTCCTGACTATCGGGCATTAAAACATTGCGGACAACATGCAGCAAACATATCCTCAATTAAGACCTGCTTATACAAAATATCTCTACAAATACATGAGGAAAAAAAATCATGTACTGAGATTTTAAACTCTACTAGATCTATTCTAAACACGAAAATCGGGAACTGGATGCTGCTCGGAATACTTGGAAAATCTCATAATAGAAGAAAAATGGAACACACCCAATTAATTTCAATAAGAGCTCCACCCGAGTGTCATTGGTAGCAGAATAGAACTGCTTTCCTCAACAATTTTTGCTTTTCCAGTACCGAAGCAGCTACATTTTAAAAAATTATTTACCTATAACAAGGGTAATATTGAGTTAAAGAGTGGATCAACAATTGCGAGGAACATTTTGCTCAAACTGAAGATTGCTGTACAGGATAAGACCGCCAACACAGGTTAATTGGAGGTAGAATTTTTAAGATCCCATAGTATGCTTTTTTCTGATCTATGTTATAATGCAGTAGCCAGGCTGGCGCAACCTAGTGCCTCCGCTCAATTTCATTTCTCTCCAGCGACTAGGTTAGGAATCGGAATACACTACAAGATTTGCAAGAACGCCAGAAGTTGTAGACCGCGCACCGGCCAATCAGTGAAGAGCTGTGAAGCCATGACGTCAAATTCAAGCGCCTGTCTGGGTCCCTTTTGTGGAACAGCACAACAGTAAACAAAGAGGTCGAGATGGATGTAGATGAAGACAGACATTCTGTGTTGGCGACGATTCCTAAAATCAAGGATTTAAAGCTGGAACAAAGAGAATGTTTGGTGAATTTTATCAAGGGGAAAGACGTTATTGCCCTTCTTCCTACGGGATTTGGCGTATTACATACATCACAACCAAATAGCAGCGGTTGTTTAAATAAAAAAAGTACCTGCCTACCGTCGAGCGAACGAATCCTAATGCTGTGAGGTCCGACGGTTTCTACAAAGTGAAACCATCTGATGATGCAGTTTCTTCATCAAAAACAGACTTGGAGTTGTGTTTTTGTTTCATTCACACATGTTTAACACACAAACCTGCATATTTAGTTCTTCTCTCAAACTGAAAACACTCTTTTCCACCTTGTGATGCCATGTGGTAAAACAGGAAATGCTCCACTGTGTTTTTAAACTCCATACACCTTCACTATAATTCTTTGGATGATTTCAGCTCTGGAATTGCCAATCTCTACTGAACAAAAGGTAAAAAGTAGATGTTAAATTGTAAACAAGGTGGAACAGAGCATTTTGAGCTTTGGAGATGTAGACAAACTGACAAGAAAGGAATATATACATGAAACAAAACACAACTCTAGGTCTGTTTTTGAGGAAGTAACAGCATTATAACATGGCTTAAAGCACAAAAGAATCCATTTTGCGTAATATAAGACCTTTAACATGTTCTTTCTGCTCTCTAGCGAGGTTCAAAAGTGCAATCTTAAAGACCAAAGGGTACAAGCTGAGAGGTCGTTCACACCATACAATCACATTTTCTCCGGATTGTCTTTGCTTTTAATACCCAGAACGGAGCAGACGTTTGGGAGAGGCTGTGCAGTGGCTGTGACAAAGACCATGACCTTCATGACGTTTGAGGCTTGGACTCCAAAGAGGGTTCCCACAAACTCTCCCAGTTGTCCGCGCTGGGCCAAGAGAATGAGGACACTCTACTTCCTGCTGGGACTCTACACTGCACAGTCAATGGATTCCCCCTTATTTCACAAGAAGTATTGCTACACAAGGGTTGGGAAAAGTTTTGAAAATAGCTTTAGAATGATCTTGAGCTGTATCAGAACAAGTATAAGAGCACATAGACTAGAATATGTACATGGACCACCTGGACCACTGAGGGATTACACAGATATAAGATTGCATGGTAATATAAAAGAAAGTAAGGCTGTGCAGTTAATTGAATTTTGATTGCGATTTTGATTTGTGTCAAACGATCTCCAAACTCAAATAATCGAGTTGAAAGTTGATTTTAGGATTTTTTTTTATTTTTTTAATATATAAATAAGTATATCTATTTCTTTTTTAAAATATATAGATTGTAGAACTGCTGAATATATAGTTTATTTTGGATACGTTTATGTTTTTCTATGCCTTATTTCATGTTCAAAGTTTATTTAATTCATTCATTTTGGTTTTATACATCACAAAACTACTCTGAGGTGCATATTTGGAGCTTACATTTATTTTCAACTTGAAAGTTTTGCGTAAATTATCAATAACAAACTGTTTTTTGAGAGAGAATTGCTGAATAAATGCATTATGTAACAAAAAAATAATCGTTTGTATAATTGTGATTTCAATATTGACCAAAATAATCGTGATAATCGAGCAGCCTTAAAAGAAAGTACTATTAATTAACGTTGAAAATCACATTCTATTATCAAAAGAAAGAGTGTTTTTTTTTATTATTATTATTATGATTGTGATATTGGAATCAGTATTGAGTATTAAGCCTATTTCTTAGTATCAAAAGTATGAAATTTTTGTATTTTGACATCACTACACTATAAAAAACTTAACAGAATCTATTTGATATAACTACACACAAAAATTGGGACAGCTGAAGAAAGGTAAAGTCTATTCTTGTGTCTCTCTGTGTGGGCTTTCAGAAATAGGCCAAGTGCACCAACCTGTAGAATAAACATTTAGAGTACAAGAGACAAAGGCCACTACTTTAGCTAAAAGGAATTTTACAGTCTGACTCACTGTAGTGTGAACAAATCAGGCGGTCACATGCAACAGGCCAGGCCAGGCTGACCCAGAAACTACAGGCTATTCAGCTGTCTAGCCAAGGTCTGATTGGGATAAATCGCTCAAACAATTATTACTAGGCTGATTGTGCTACCCTGACCTTGTCCGAATAAGAATGTGGTACAATGTATGTGTATTTTGTGAAGAACAGCCAATATATCAATGTTAATAATATTGTGCTATACAAAGTGATAAAAAATTAGAGATGAGAAGATACGTGACACATTACACCTATAAATTTAACCAAAGCTTTGTTAAAACAGCCTGGTAGCACCACCTGCCGTCTTAAAGCTACTATCTGTAATTCGGTTTGCTGACGCGTCCCTGCTGTATTCTCACATGTCACCACTAGATGCTTCTACTTTACTGCTGTCTGATAGTGAGCGAGCTTTGGACTGACAGAAGATGATCAGAGAGTACAGGGCTTTATTTGTCTCAGGGAAGAGTTTATATCCTCTGTCCTCGTTTTGTCTCCTCTGTGGGTGGGACTTCCTCGCCCATTTCCAGCAGAATCGAGGAAAGGTATCAAGAAGAAGGAAGCGAAGAAGGAGAAATGCTAGTCCTGTGAAATGTTTGTACCGTATTTTTCTGACTATAAGGCGCACCGGATTATAAGGTGCAATATCAGTATCATACATAAGGTGCACTGGATTATAAGACACATTAAGCAAAACAAACGGATGACACTTGAGACTGATCCTTAGCCCAGGCGTCCACAATTCATTGGCAGATCGTGGCGTAATTCGTCCAGTATTGCCTCCCTGTCTTGGTGAATTATTATTATGAATGTGAATGTGGGTGGATAATTTATATTTGTTTTTTTATTTCCTATGAGGAGGACTCAAATATACACTGAGTAATAATGTGTTTAATGCAGCTTTGCGCACATTTGTTTACATTTTACAGAAACAAAACTTAAAGCCACATGGGTAATTTGCAAAAACTATAAGCACCTGAAAAAAAACAGCTCGCTCCTTGTGCGCTGATACAGGACGTGAATCCGTGAGGCTCCTGATTACAGTAGCCGTAATGCTCTGACAATCCATCAAGCGGTGCAGCTTTGTAGCTCACCAAAGTCATACTAAAACATTTTCACAGATTTTTAAGCGCCGTGTACCACATAAAATCAGTTCGAGGTCAATAAGCACAACCAGAATTAATACATAAGGTCGATTTTTGAGAAAATTAAAGGATTTTAAGTCCTAAAAATACGTTATTCTGTGTTTTGACTGTGCTAATGTCACGGAGGTGTTTTATTTTTTTTTTTTGTGTGTGTGTACTCTACCATACTATGCCCCAGTAGGATCATGGTCTGGGGCTATTTTCTTTTTTTTTGTCCTCCCCCTATCTTCATGTTAAGCTGCAGTGATTATTCCTATCTACTACCTGTTTTCTGGTCCAGTCCACGTTGTCTTCCCCATGTCATAGTGTATTGTATTGTGTGTTTGTAATGTACGGATGAGGTGAAAGGTTCCAATTTCGATTCCTTTGTATTGACAAATAAAGGCCATTATTCATTCATTCATGGTGAGCATGAATAAAGGCCAGGTAAGAGGAGGAGGGACGGGCTTCACATTGGCCATTTACTGGTAAAAAAAAAAAAGTAATAAACTGGCAGATGGTAGATTCACTCCATGAATATATGTCTCTAAAATTGTTATATCTGAATTATGGAAAAACTTAGATCATGCAGTGTAAAATGAAAATGACACACTCAATCAATTATTCAAAGCCATCAAACTTTTCCAATTACAGCAAATTGGTCCAAAAAGAAGAAAAAGATCTGCTTTATGAGTTAAAAAGGAAACTAAATTTAAAAATTAAGTATAATACATTACATCACATTTGCCATTACCTCTTTGGCACGTCCATTACATCCACCAGCTCCTCGTACTCCATGTGAAAGACGCTGGAGAAGGAGTTCTGCAAAAGTGAAATGAGTTTGTGAGTTAGCGTTAGATGTCAGAAATAGCCCTGTGGTTAGCTGTTACGTGAAGCTAAGCTAACTTTATTAAGATCTGCGCAGGCTGATACTAGCTGAGTGGTTTGGACACTTTCACCACAGGAGCAGTAATGCCCTAAAGCAGAAGCAGAGTGTACAATTCAACTGCTCCCAGCCCACATTTCCTGTCTCCAGCTGAACGCGCCATTTAAGACGACCACTCTGGACTTTGTGAACTGCGCCTTTGGTGAAGCATTAGCCGCAAAAATCTAAAAGAGTGACTTTTAATGGTAGTTTTGAGTTTCTGCTCAACTGTGTCCAAACTCAATTTATTCTTTATTGGTTTTACATATTTACCTCACAAAGCAGTCACTCAGTAAGAGGATGACTGAAACCTTCAATGGATTAAAGGTCCAATATTACACAAAACTAACTCTTGTTTTTTATTTTTTAATCAATTTTTGAGGGAGTGGATACTAGAGGTGTGCAAAAATATTGAAATATCAATATATCGTATGGTTTAATGAGATGATACAGTATCAATATTGTGGGCTGCTGTTTCGATATATCACTAAGAGTATTTTTTGGTATATTTTACTAAATTGTTTTGTTGCTTGTTCAGTGCAAGCAAACTCGTTTATGCGACACATTTGACATTTTCACAGTTTTGATAATTAAAATGTTTGTGTTTCATATGAACATTTGCACAAGAAGTGGTTTAACAAAGACTTTTAGTATCACAGCCATGATTTAGCATTTATTTTTTATTGAACTGTATCGAATCATTTTGAAATATATCGTATTGAATCGAAAGTGCGCTGTATCGAGATATGTATCGTATCGTGACTTATGTATCGAGGTATGTATCGTATCGGCAACTTTTTAATGATACCCAGCCCTAGTGGATACCCAGCACATTAATAACAAGATAGACATAACAAAATATAACACTAACACAAATAAAAAGAAAGAAAAAAAGAGCAGAGAGAGAGAGAGAGAAAAAAAAAAACTGACTCTTGTGATTTTAAGTCTTGTTATAATGTTGTTAATAGGGATGTAACAATAACCGAAATATTGTGATATAGTATCGTCAAAAGTCTCACAATAATATCGTGGGCTGTCACAATATATCGAATTACAAGTTCCTTTGCTTAAATGCATTGTTTATAGTAGCAACAGCTTATAAACATCAGAAACTACATATCCCATGATTCATTTCAGCGCAGAAAACATTAAGAAATATGTTTTTTACTCGAAATCTTGGGATTATGAGGGAAATAATTCACATCAAAATCTTGTAAAGGTATTTTAAAAGCATTTCCATCTACAATTACATCACCCTCTACAAAATATCGCAATAAATATCGTACCGTGAGTTTTGGATATCGTTACATCCCTAGTTGTTACCTCCTCAAAAACACACCTGGAGTTGAGTTTTGTTTCATTCACACATGTTTGAGAAACTCTTTATTATTATGATTAGTTTACATCTCGAAAGCTCAAAAGTGGTAGTGGTAGTTTTCAGGTTAACAGCTCCTTTTAACTTTTGTTTAGTGAAGTTTGGAAATTCCAGGACTGAAATTATCCAAGTGATTCCAGGGAAGGGGTATGGAGTTTAAAAACACAGTGGAGCACTTCCTGTATTGCCACATGACATCACAAGGTGGAAGAGAGTGTTTTCTGCTTGAGAGAAGAACTAACATGTGTGAATGAACCAAAACTTTTAAGAAATAAATAAATTGATTCTGATTTGAGGTCATATTGCCGTTTCCTTCCAGCTCTACTTTGGCGAGACCAAACTAAAAGAAATGCCAGAAACAATAAAACATAAATTAAGCAATTTTTTTTTTTTTTTTTCAACCTTCAATATAAAATGCACAAATGACCCTGATCATGCCAGAAGAAAATGTCTATTTCCTTCAGTTTATCACATTGGGCTATTTTAAAAATCTATTTAGTAGTAATAATTTCACAAAATAAAGTGTTGGACCTTTACTCAACCTTTCAGTTTATGGGCCTTGGCTTGAAAAAGATTGAATTAAATGCTAAAATATTTGAAAAAAGATGACTGGATAACTTTGCAAGAGCAGTCTGTCAAATAATTTGATACTTGATGCTTGACAATGATTGTATTATTATATGATTATATTTTTATTTCATTTATTTTTATTTATGTATTTATTCTGGGCAAGTAGAGATTTACATTCTTATACAATGGAACATATAACCTAAGCAAGTGAAATCATAATAGAAATTAAAATAACCACAACAAAAAATGTGCCCAAAAAGGAGTGGGAAGAAGAAGACTTATTTAATCCCACCTACACTCTTCTAATCTAACACAATGAGCTTTCTTTGGCATTTTTGAGACATTTTGCATTAATCTACATGAACAATTTACAAGTGCGGACAAAGACTCACTGTTATAGCTTGGTGGTATAACAGCAATGGAAAGGTTATACTTTAAAAACATGAAAAACAGAAATAGCTCTTTTAAGACGGTTTGTGGCGCCCAAATGTATTCCCCACTTTCCTCGTATATTTCTAGCATCATAAATATTCACAGTGATGAGTTTATGAGCGCTTTTCTCAACTTTCCGAGGCCAGAGTGGAGTTTTGCCTTCACAGCAATGCTAATGTTTATTTTCAGTGAACCAGGAAGCAAGGGTTGTACTCTGTTAGCATACTAGTTGTTTGTTTTATAATTAGATGCATACACAAACACACATCAGTCTCATTTTGTTTAGAAAAGCTTTTAGAATAGATCTAGCCTGATTAATCAGCTGGTTTCACTTCGTGGAAACCTTCTGACCTCGCAGCATTAGGATTCGTTCGCTCGACGGTAGGCAGATACTTTTTTATTTAACCAATCGTTGCTATTTAGTTGTGACGTATATAATGCGCCAAATCGAATATGTAGAAAGGCAATAACGTCTTTCCTCTTGATAAAATTCACCAAACATTCTCTTTGTTACAGCTTTAAATCCTTAATCTCGGGAATCGTTGCCAACACAGAATGTCTGTTTTCGTCTATATCCATCTCAACCGCTTTGTTTAAAGAGGCAATCGAAATACGGAAACGTGCCCAAGGGACTATAAACCGGAACAAGGGGGCTTTATTACTCTCACATATCTGGGATACTGTCCTGAGGAAGTCGGACTGCAGGTGGCGCTGTCGTCCTGTCGAAAACAGCGCCAAAACCTGTTTAAATCAGCTGACCGGACACGTCACAACAACATCACGTGACCACTCTGAAGAAGACCGCTAGTGAGCAGACGAGCAGTCAGGTATGAAAACAAACTCTTGGTCTGTAAAAGAACCTAATAACACGTTTTGTTTACTGTTGTGCTGTACCACAAAAGGGACCCAGACAGGCGCTTGAGTTTGATGTCATGGCTTCACAGCTCTTCGATGATTGGCCGGTGCACAGTCTACAACCTCCATGGTTCTTGCAAACTGTCTAGTGTATTCTGATTCTGATTCCTGACTTAGTCGCTGGAGAGAAATGAAATTGAGTAGAGGCACTAGGTGGCTCCAGCCTGGCTACTGCATTATAACATAGATCAGAAAAAAGCAAACTACAGGATCTTAAAAATTCTAACTCCAATTAACCTGTGTTGGCGGTTTTATCCTGTACAGCAATCTTCAGTTTGAGCAAAATGTTCCTCACAATTATCAATGCTTTTTTAATTCTATATTACTCTTGTTATAGGTAAATAATAAAAAAAAAAAAATTGCTGCTTTAGTATTGGAAAAGCAAATATTGTTGATTGTGCTGATTTCTATTCTGCTACCAATGACACTCGGGTGGAGCTCTTATTGAAATTAATTGGGTGTGTTCCATTTTTCTTCGATGCACATTTTAACTCCATATTATCTTTGTTATAGTTTTTTTTTTTTTTTAATGTAGCTGCTTTGGTACTGGAAATGCAAATATTGTTGAGGAAAGTAGTTCTATTCTGCTACCAATGACAGTAGATAGATCAGTACTGGGCCGAAAAATAATTTACTTTAGTTAAAAATATATGCAATTTCTATATTCAAGATCCACAAAATAACCAAAATGTTAAAAAAGAAGATTAGTTTGACTTTACACGTAGCAATCATTATTAAACTGTCTGAAAAATGCCCACAAGAGTTCTTTCATTGCGTGCTGATTGTTGGCCCACCAGCTGCAGCCATAATAATGAGCCCACAGATTGTGTTTGGAAATGGCCTGAACCTTAACCCCGCCTAATCCAGCTACAATCCCCCAAGAAGAAACCATTATTATCAAATTCCTCTGTGCAAATTCAGAACGTCTACGCGTCGTTCCAAGTTCCCCTCCAGCCATTTATCATGTACAATGCGCACGGATACAGTTTATCTAATTAATCCGTTACTAATCAAGACTGAGTACATGTGAGAGTCCTAAAAAAGAGGATGTTGATATATAGTCCTTCACGGCAGGCCAAAAGTTTATTCCGACATTCCACTGCTCCTTACATGGACTTGTTTTCCCTTCAGCTCGGCTCCCAAAGGCTCCCAAATAATCTCTTTTTTTTTTTTCGTTTTCAAGAGTTGCTTAGGGACAGGACGGAGGACGGGCTGTGTATTGGAAAATGTAATCCTTTGTTTTACAGTGAAAACTTCGGGTGAGATTATCTATCAGGTAATAAAAGGAAGACGGTGGAGCGGAGGGACGTTTACGGGGTTCTATGGGAAGGGGATGGTTTATAGTAAGAAGACAGAAGGGACAGGGAGAATGGAAAAAGAACATATATATGTATTCATCTGTTGTCAAACACTGGTCAAGAGTAAAAGGTTTAAAATGAATGCAGGAACTCTTTCTCTAAACCTTAAAATAACATCTCAGTATTGAAAAATAATGTTACCAGTCCATTCTAATTAGTTATTATCATCAACAGACTCAAAACGTATTATTTTTTACAAGTTCCTGGCTCCACAAACCTGCCATATTCAAGTCTTTTCTCCTGACAA